AAGCAGAATTATGCTTTCAACTAATTATCAGTATTATGATTTTTTTATATCTAGAAGGACCAGATGTTAATGTGTGAAAGCACTGGAAAAACAGCACTATGTTTTGGACCCATTGCTTCATGCTTAGTGGCTGGTGGGATGCTGCGAAGTTCTATTAATGTGGGTTTTTTTCTGTCACTGGGGCAGGTTCTTCAATGCACATGGATCAGCCTTGCTGCCAAGCTCTCTATGACTTTGAACCAGAAAATGAAGGCGAGCTTGGGTTTAAGGAAGGGGACATCATCACTTTGACCAATCAGATCGATGAGAATTGGTATGAGGGGATGTTAAACGGAGAGTCTGGCTTCTTCCCCATTAATTATGTTGAAGTGATGGTGCCCTTGCCTCAGTGATCGTGTCATTCAAGCTGTGAATGTGATTTCATGACTGAAATGGATTCACAAATGTTCTGTCGGTGTGGCATTCTGTGAAAGCCTTGCTATTCGACTGACTTACTGACTTTTGTATGCGTCTTTTTAAAATGTATTTATTTTATATTCAAAAAAATTTTACCTTCCCTGACTCCATCAACCTGCAAAAAAACCCATACCCAGTTTTTTTGCTTTGTGCCTTGAAGACCACTGTATGAAGTGTTTACTGGTAGCTCACTGTTGCTCCAAAAACGCATTTCCTTGCTATTACTGTACGTGGATTTTTTTTTGTCTTTGCCTGCAATGATTTTAGTATTGAAAACCATTTTTAAAAATACCATAAGTGAAGCTAACTGTAACCAGTTCCTAAGTTACTGACGTCATTGAGCTCTTTTCATCTATCACACTGTAATTTATTGTGAACAAGTTAATCCATGTTTCACACTGTATGTTGACAAAAGGCAAAGTGGTTGTTGTCAATATTATGATGTTATTGTACTAAGTACAAGTTCTCAGCATTGAAAATTCCTATACTTTACTGACCAAACTGAATAAATATTTCTGTGGGATAAGAGTGGTGGTTGCTGCTTCTGTTCCTGTTGTTGTGGCATTTGTTTATGAGCTGGAGGTCACTTTTGCTAAATACATCAGCTTTCAGTGAAGAAGACAATGCTACGTTAAAAATGTATGAATAAAGCCAAAGTATTAGTTTTATGACACCTCAGCCACTGGAGTTTTAGTAATCTTGCTCTCTCCCTGCTGATTGTGTAGCATTTAGAATGTCTGTTAATATTTTCTTCTAGCAGGAGGATAAGAGAGAAATTCCTCTGAACTGAGTACAAACTGATCCTAGCTCCGCAGGGTTTGTCTAGGACTCCACTGAGCTAAATCGGTGAGTAGCACTGGTGGCTCCTGCAAACCGCTGAAATGGCAATACGCTTTACTTTTTTTTTGAAGGGGTTGGAGAAGGAGGAGAAAGAAAAGACTAGGTGAAAAGGGAAAGACATGCTATAACTAAAACCATGCAAAAAAAAAAAAGCCTCAAAATGAAGGACAGATGGACTCAGGTGTCTTATCACAATGAAGGTAGAATTAATTTATTTTTCTGTTACCCTTCTTCTGCTTTGCTTAGTAAATGCAGATGATGTAAGGACCAACTGCAGCAGTGCCAGAGGAGTGTGTAATCTTTTGCCAGTTGCTCTCTGTACAACACAGTGAGGACAAGGGAGCTGAACTCTTTAGGGGTAGAGGGGCTTGAATCCAGCTTCAGACTTTCAAGCTCTACGTGGTTCTGTAGTCCAGTAGAAACAGCATTCCCCAGAGAGAGAAGAATTTCATGTGTATCACAGGTGCAGTAACTTTTCCATCTGAGAAGCACAAATAACTATTGACTATCAAATCCATGCTGGCTTTTTTTTTTTTTTTTTGGCCTTGGTTTGCACATGGTCACCAGGGATGTAGGAGGGTTATTCTTTGCAGCTTTTGCTACAGCCTCCTACTTAGGACACATCATCTCAGAATTTGGACTTGCTCATGTAAAGAGGAAAATTCATCAGTCCTTTTCCAAATTCATGGGGAAATACGTAGTTGTTATTAAAGCAGCAATATGGAAAGTTTTTGAATGGATGTAGCTATGATGTTCTGAATACAAAATGTATGGGACAACTTTCAAAGGTTTCAGTACTTGGGATTCACAGCTGCTTTTGCTTTTTCCCCCTTTATCAGAGAGGTCTCCCCAGTCATACCCTTCCATAGCAGGCAAGAAAGAGGCATTGAAATATTTTTTCCTACCTCACCAGAATTCCCTAGAGCACATGTGCATGCACACACACACAGAGATATGTGTAAAGGTTTTAATTCTCAATACACTTTGCAGGCAGCAGCTTGCCATTTAATGTAGAGCTCCTGGTCAGCTGCGAGAGATGTCTCATCTAACAGAAGCAGCTATGCAGGAGTAAGCTGGAAGCAAGCTGAGAGCACACCGTACTGTTACTGATTAGGATAAAGTATATAGAAAGGTCATAGGAAACCAACTGTCTTCCAGGTTTGCTACCAGGATAACAATTTGCACAAGAGGATCCATTGCACATCAGAGGATTTGTTCTTTAACACCTGCCTTTTTAAGAGTGTATGCTAAGAACACATTTCATAAACTGCCCAGTAGGTTATGTAGTTTGGTAAATAGAAGCAGGTGGTCTTTCCCAGATGGCATTACCAAACACCATCCTGTACCACTGTCACTTCCTATCAAGACTTGTACACTAGTTCATACCTTTCATGGTTGCTTATTACATCCTTTCCTTGTGCTAAAAAAAGGTTTCACTTGAAATACTGAAGATTCCTCTTAAATTTATACAAGTTCAGCTTTATTTAAAGTATTGAGTGATAAATATACAGTACATTTCTGAAGGTTTCTTCAGTCTGCAGGGAATCTTCCCTAAACTCACCACTTTTATTGCTTCAAAGTCTTTTGAGACACTCAAGATCAATGAACAAACAGAACTTTATTATTTAACCTGCAAATATTAAACTCCAATACTGCTTTTATATACATGAAAAATATCTTTAGTAGTTAAGAAAGTTTAAGAAATTGAGATAAATATAGCAAGGTTAGAACAGCATCTATTTCTATGTAGGCTGTAAGATACAACAAGAATTCAGATGTGCTAAAATGCAAGTATTAAACCAGCAACTACTCTTGATGTCTCAAAACTAGAATTTTTAAATAACTGGAGAGGTTAAGCTAGTATAAGGAAGGCCTCACATTAACAACTGCATCCTAATACAGAACAAGTCTTAAATTGAGAACTGAATACTTTGGTAAGGTACGAGGCAGTCAAAAAACTATTCCACCATTTGGAAGAATCTGTAATCTCAGCTGCTCCTCCCCTCACACTCTTAAAGAAAGGTGTACTTCCTCTGGCTCAGCAAGGCCCTTTCTATACCATAGAGCCAGCAGTAAGAAGTTTTTAGTAAAAGAGGCTAATAATAATTGAATACAGTGGCCCCAGAGGCTGACTGCCTGGTTTCTGAGGGTTCTAGGTCAGGCTTTACATGGACTACAGAGCTATTCAAGTTACAGTAAGTTACATACTGGCCAATGGACCGTATTCTCCCATTAGACATACAGAAAGCAGTACTGCAGACTGCACAGAGATTTAGTGCATAAGGATTCTAAAAGCAGGTGTTTTTGATGCCCCTTTTGCTACAGTTGGTGCTTTCTAGTTTTGATTTTTGTTTCAGCATGGGTTTTTTTCCCCCAGCCCCTTAGAAAGCTGGCTTGTTGGGACCAAAGTGCTAATATTGCTACAGTACCTTCTCTGCTGGAATGAGATGCTTTTTCACATTTACAGGATATGTCTGTCCAAGTTAAGTCTGACACAGCTATGCTGTGATACACTGTATCTCAGAATATACAATACCAAAACCAGTGGATTTCCAGGTGCTAGAACACACAAACAGTACATTAAATAACAAACAATATTTTTACAACTTGCTTTTAATTTTAAAGTGTTTCACTCTAGGAAGTTCTCTAGCAAGTGATCTAGACCAGTTTCATATATTTCAGCATCAGGATCTGAGCCGGAAACATTTCAGACAGTGGGCACTGTTCAGGGTGGTGTTTCACTTCAGCCAAGTGCAGACTTGCCCAAGGTGCAAGTTAGGATGTGATCTGGCCAATCTATTTCCCACTCAGGCTTGAAACAGAAGTTACCTTTACAGAAACACCATAACAGAACACAGAAAGCCAGGGCAGCCTTATGCTCATAGTCAAGTATTTAGCATCCTTCTAGGGCGTATGTTTAGAAGTTTTGTAAACTATGTACCCTCCTTTGTTTCAGCAGGTCACAGAAACCAGATCCTTGTGTTAAAGTGAAAATAACTTCCCATGGAGCTTATATTCTACTGCTCTATATCAGTGAATCCAAGAACAGGGTCCAGTATCAGAAGGTAGAAAGTTTCATCACGGTGTGGACAATGTTTCTCACAAAGAGGTCAGATGGGAGATGGAAATTCCCAGTTGCAGATATTGCAGAAGATACCAAAACACATGTAGTCTGTGTCACCTGGGATCAAGAGGTGTTTTCAGATGATCGTCTTTGTCCACGTTACATGATAGAACAGCTAGCATCCTCATTTTGCTGCAGAAATAAAACATCAAGACATTAGGCTAATTAGCATGCATATAAAAAGTATTTATTGCTGTTACCTACTTGATCCTCATGTAGGTGTGTGGGGTTTTTAGTGCTTTGTACATTTACTTATTAATAAGCAGGTTTTCAAGAGAGGAAGCACCTTAATTATACTAGATGATTTGGGGGTGGGGGAAAAGAATACAAGCTGTTAGGAACCCAAGTCCATGCAACACATTAGCCTGTGCCTTCCTTAATGAAAGGCTGTCAAGCTGTCTATCATTACCTCAGTTCTGAAGCATCCAAACTTCACTGGCATGCGGATTCATGCTACACTAGTTAGGATGATAAAAGCAGAAGCAAAAACCACAGAAACCCTGCCTACCTTTAAAGCACAGCATGCTCTCTTTGCATCATTTTACTGCATGCAAGTTAACTGTTTTCTACTAAACTGCCATTATTTCAGTACTACCAAGGCAGCAGAAACCTATAGGTAGTAATGACAAAAGTTTAACAGGAATTCAGCAGACAGGAAGGACATTAACATTTGAGTATTAGAATTGATCCTTACCGTAAGTGGCACACAACTGTATTGTAAAGTTGCTGATAAAACAGATTAGAGGTGTAAGGAAAAGTTACTTTTGCTTTCCATCATTGATTGACAAGTAAACCATAGTATTAGTCCATTCAAATAAACAGCTTTTAAAAAAGCTTGGAGAGGACCCACTCCAAACATAAATAGAAGTTTGTATCATTAAGTCTCTTTAAAAGCCCAAAGCTTCAACCATTTTGGTGTATGCTGTGCATTCAGAGCCCAAAGGCCAGAATAGCATTATAGAACCTTTCTCAGCAGCCTGTTTAACCGGGTCTCACCTTCCTTCAATGAGAGACTGAAAATATTACAAGAATGCGCATGTACGTCAGGAGACTTTGATAAGCATCCTTTAAGCTAGATGGTATAGTAATAGTTCTTTATCCAGATTTTCTGTTGGAAACAAGGGCAAGGAAAGAACAAAGCAGCAGGCAGTAACTGCCTGTTCTTAGGTACATTTTCTTCACAAAGACAGTACTAAAGTACTTTTTAAGATTTCAGACAGGTATATTATGAAAATACCTAGGAAACAGTGGCAGTTTTAAGACCTGGTGCAGTAAGATGCAAGTCCTCCTTGTAAGTGTGTAGGATCAGTTTTAGCAAGAGCTTTGATAGCTCAACACACTGTATCAGCAGGAGGAGGGAGGGAATGAATTTTAGCTAGGTGTCCCTTTGCACTTAGGGCCTTGGCATTTGTACTAGCAAACGGGACTTGGTGCTATCTCAAGTCAAGAAACAAACCAGATCAAGTACAGTCCACAATTGTTCAGGTATGACCAATTTAAAGCCCTTGTATTAGTTCTGTTTTAGACTACTTCAGCAATTAAAGATACCTGACTCCTAGTATATCAGAGTACACTAGGAGCATTAATATGCAGAAGTTCAGACTTGTAATACAGCAAGTCAAAAGCCCCTTGAAGGGGCTAGGGAGTCTGTCACAGGGCATTACAGCATGCAAGTTGTAGCAGCCAAAGGGTTATAAGTATATTGAAGGCTAAACTTGCTTATTCTATATGACTATGTTAATTCTGTTAGCATGACCTGCATCTGTGTTGAAGTTCCACTTGGAAAGTATTGGTGGGGTTATTTATGACTGCAGCAAGGCTGAGGTACATATTTTGCACAGCAAAATAAGAAAAAGTAGTTCCTGGAAATGAGCTGGAACAGAAGTGCCTCAAACTCATGCTTGAATTTAGGAGGAAATCAGGCAATAAATACACTAAGAACTTTGATTTGAGCCTTTTAATACTTCTGAATAGAAATATTAGATTTCCTGTGTGAGTTTAAGTTATCTTAAGAGCAAGTCAGGGACACTGGAGTGTCAGATAAGTCACTTCATACTACAGAAATAAGATATTTCTGGTTAGCGTTTGCATTCTGTTCTTGGGGCAACAGCTTTAAAGTTTATCCATAGTCAAATGTTTCAGTAGAACAGACATTAAAGCTAGTATTTTCAGTGTGTCAGTAATAAGACACCAAACGATTAATGCTACTATTCAATCATACTCAACCCAGGAATATGCAAAATATCAATTCCACTTCTGATGCAAAGCCATGCGAGCTACAGCCTACATAGGATGAGAGACTGCAATGCTATTAATGAAGCAAGCTTTCTATGAGGTGACAAGCGTGGTTCTCACCATCTCACCTGCTTAAAGATCCTCACAGGAGCCACTATCATGAAACCAAACAACATTTCTTTTTTCTTCTTCTTTTGGTCTGACATCAAGAGAAATGTTAAGAGTTGTAGGATATGGATAGTACTTGGGGAAGTATTTTCATGCAGTCATGAAAAGAAATGGCCACTGAATGATTCTGTTGATAGCATGTATTGAAAACTTCAGGCAGCTTACCTGAGACTGAAACTCCATTTCACTTCCAGTTATTTCTTCATCATCTTCTTGCTCGCCACTTTCTTCTTCTCTGGGTACATGCATTATCTTCCTCTCTGCGAGTTCCTAGAATACAATTGAATTGCCACCAACAAGCCTCAAGAATTAAGCACAAACAAGCTTAGTATTAGGACTGTAGAAGCTACTTACTCTCTCACTTACCTCATCATCATCTGTGATGAGCGTAACACAAATATTATCCCCAGTTCCCCATGACTTCTGAGACTTCCAGACCAGATCACTAGGACCTGGGCTTACACCAGCAGCTGCACCCCAGATCTGCAACAGATTTAGAGTGAGCTTCTGAAGAATCTTATTTGTAGTTAGATTAAGAGTTGTGTATGTTAGACTGAATCCTAAGTGCTCCAATACCAAAGATGTCCAGTATACAGAAACTGAATTCCTGTGATCCCTGGCAGGTTAATTCTTTTCAGGACTACCAAGAATGGTGGTAATGGTTTTTAACTGAAGACTGTAAAACAGGGCAGAAAAGGCTGTTAACAGCTTCTGCCTGACGTAGAGGCAGTCTTGCTTGACCCTGCATGCCATTTCAGTCACAGAGCCAAGCCATAGCTACAGACATACTGATGGCAGCGGTTTGTGTTTACAAGATAGCCTCTAGCCTGGGGTCACTCACAGGTCTCTTGAGCAAGCTTGTACAGAGTTTGGAGTGCAGAGTGTAGAACTGGGCTCTTTGGTTGCTATCAAGATGTACTTAGAGTATGATTTTTAGAGCTAATATTTAGCTTACTACCATAAACCATGAGCTCAGCATTGCTGAGCTGTAGTGGACTAAAGCTTTTAGCAACAGTGAAAGTCTTTGCACAACTTGTATCAAATCACAAGACCATGGGGAACCCTAAGAATGAACTAGAATATATTGATTCTGTTCATGATAACAGCACATCCCAATCCGGGATGATCCACGTTCAATCCATGACCTAGCTTTAAAGAAAATTTAATTGGCATTTCAGATCAAGTTGTTGCAAGGATTTTCCCCATCTCCCTCTCCACATAAAATAAGGATTTTGGTTCCTTAGTCACTTGCAGTATCAATTTAGTTTTCCTTATTACGTGAATCTCTGTCATCTAACATAACAAGAACAGAGCTCTGAGTAAGTTTCACAAAACCACTACCTACTGTGACTACTTGGCCCGCCTGAAGAGTGAACTGTGAAGGAAATTTGTATGTTACATCTGACACACTTTCAAGACGTCTTCTTAACACCCATCCATGTAGTGGTTGATCCTGTGGGACAAGAAATTTCTCTCAGCATTACAGACCAACACCATATCATACAAGTGCAAGGTTCTTTCCAGACTGAAGGGTCAGTTTTAGTCCCACTCCTGTCACGTATAGGAATCAATTTTGAGGAAGCCTTCAAGTTTCCATTAAAGTCTCACTATGTTTTCTCCCAGTATTTCCTTAGGATTAATCTTAGTCCCACAAGTTTAGGCACATCTATTCTTGCCTTCCGTTGAAGGGGGATCATGATGCCCTTTACAAGGGAGATTGTGATAAGTTGGTCACACCCATCTACCAACTTGGTCCATATATATAACGCATACGTAGTGGCCTGTGAAGGTTTAAGGCATCTCAGGCTGAAGTGGCAAAGATACCAGCCACAAGTTTTGGAGCTCTGAGTTTTAATTCTAGTAATTCTGGATTTGCACACTAAACTAGTCAAAGAATTACTTAATTGGTCAGACAAACCCACTACATGGATTAGATACTGTCAGTTCTATTCAGCCTGTTAGCTGTTCTAAGCATTTCTAAGTAGTAAGAAGCTGTCATTATCCAATTTACTAAGCACCTTATTTGGTTCAAGGATAAGCAGTGCTTCTGATAGTGCTAGCCTGAATCTGATGAGAACCAGCTGGAGGTGCTAGATTTCTGCATTGTAGAACCCAGCACGCCTCCCCCCAAAAGCACCTCCCAGACATCCCTGTGAACAACACACCTGCAGAATGAAAAAAAAAAAAAAAAAAAAAAAAATCAGTCTCTAGTCTTCTCTTAACATCGGCCAGATTAGCCGAGATGTCCCCGCTTTGTATTTATTTCAGCAGTACTCTTCCCTCATCTCTTCATCCTTCCCTACTGTCATCTCCCACTAAACTACAAGTCAGTTCACAAGCAGTCATACTTTGCAATGAAGACCATGCACACTTGAATGAATAGAAGTACCTCATCAGAGTTGTTTTTCAGCCTAACAAATTTCCCATCTGCATCAATTTCTTCAATAGATACATTTCCAGAAGATGAAGCATGCTGAACAGTGTTAAATCTATCACTATGCCTTCTCTTTCTGGCTTCTTTGATTTTCCTTTTCTTCCCATGCAGGAACCGTCGCCCTTGACTTGTTGCTTGAGATGCAGAGCTGTGTGAAGATGGACTGGGTGACAGCTTTAGCCTAAAAGTGAGTCAGATAACATTCACTTGAATATCTGATGTGCTTATTTCTTCTCACTCCTATCCTCCCACTATAGCCAAGTCTAACAGCTTCTTATATACAAGCTTTCCATGAGGTCTTGAATTTAAGATTTTATTTTTACTGGCAAGAGTAGCTAAGTAGCTTGTTAAGTTTGGAAGACAGCCCCAGCCCTAGAGTTCAGAGCAAGCTCATGTTGATAAGAAAAGATTCCCAATGACAATAAGTATTCCTTTAAAGTCTCTACAGACACAATCTTTAGTGGAAGTAGTTTAAGTTTTTGACCCTTCTTAGTATGTATTGAGTTCATGTTGTTCTCACCAGGCAGTGTCTGGTTAGTTTGGAGTTCATACAGTTTCCCAGTTTCATTCATGAAACTTGAGCGCTGTCTTTGACTTCTCTAGGACGTAGCACAAAGCTTTGAGAAAGTTTGTTTCTAGCGAAGGCTGTCTGATGGACCTTTGAACTTTATCAGTTGTTTATCAGGGTTTATCAAGTTACTTCATCTTACTACACCATGTAGCAAATGTAGGATATAAACACCATCTACAGAAGATTGTGCTTCAAGAACTACATTATGGCACTAGTCACATACTTAATATTTATTTCTTGTATCCTCCACATTCTGAAGAATAACCAGTTAATTAGCATAGAGATCTTGGATGAAACACACCCTCATATGAGGATCTTGTCATGTCATAGCCTACCTCTGTTCCTCTCCTTCCAGCATTTTTCTGTAGGCACTTATTTCCAGATCTAGAGCCAGTTTCACATCTAAGAGATGCTCATATTCTTCCAACTGTTCTTGTGCCTGCTGCTGGGCTTCTGCCATTTCTTTCTCTTTTTCAGCCATACGTCTTCGATAGAGATCACGATCATAATCCAGCGTCTCCTGTAGCTCCCTTATTCTGTTCTCCAAAGCAACTTTCTAAAAAGTAATGGGAGGGAAAAATCAATTAAACTGTAACTGAAGATCAGAGCGGAGAAGCCAATATTTTGAAATGGGTATCTAAATTAAAATAATTCTAAGGATATACAAATAAAGATAGTACCTGGCTTTGATATTGATTAACTTGAGATGTCAGAATATCAGCTTTCTGCTTTGTTTCCATCAGCTCCTCCCGAACACTGTTGGCAATGTCACTATTTCTTGCCGCAGATAGCTGGGCATTCTCCAACTATGGGTAAGTCACTGTTAGTAATGAGTTATTTATGACTGTATACTTTAAACAAGAAAGGAAAAAATCAAGTGATTTTCAGCTGTTACATCTGGAAATAGTTATGTTTTACTTAAGTGCACAGATACCAATAAAGTCCAGGTCAGAGATTTTTGTTGCTTTTCAGGGAGGTTTACACAAGTTTGACATTCATGTCAGAAAAGTCAGCAGTAATCAGATAGTGAAAACTGCTGGATTAGGACATTTTAGTTACAGATGCATGAAGACTTTGTATAGGTATGAAGTAAATGGGTTCTCCTGAAGAACAATGGAGAATATGTTTAGAAGCTGCTTGTCAAAGCATGTGGCTACAGGATATTAGATGTACTTAGTACACTATTGCTCTTCTCCAAAAGTTCTACAACTAAACAGTTCCTGCGTCACTATAAGCAGCACTGAGCTATTTCTAGGACAATTCAATCTTAAGATGTTCCAGGAAAGGATAAAGTAGAGCCATGCTACTACAAGAGGCCCTCACAGAATTTCCAGTGTAAACCTGGACAGAAACATCCAAAGGAACTCACTGAGCTGGCATGTAAGTTGGAGTATAGAGAAAGCCAGAAGAACCAGGAAGAAAGAATACATGTACTTGTTGAGACAAATAGCAGATCATGTGATTCCGCACTGATTATTAAGGAAGGCTTAAGATACCAATACTGTACACTGCAACCAACCCATAAACCCCTGGGATCTTACTGACCGAGAGTATAAGCCTAAAGTATTACTTCTTCCTGCATATGTGGCTAATGCTGGGAGAGAGGTGACAGAGCAGTTCTGGAAGACAAACTGTCCAGCTACTTCCACAGCCATCCTCTCCCCCTTATCCAGTACTCGCAACTGGAAAGGGACATTTGTGCTCATACATTTAAGAGTGCACTTTTAGAACTATAAGAATTCCTCATTTCATGCATTTTAGTAAAACTATAATCAGTACATCAAGTTTTATTCAATAATACTGAATTTGCTTAATACAAACATAGCACACCTTAGTCCTGAATTTGTCAGACAAGGAATAAGATTTGTCAGAAGTCTAAATTATGATCCACTTTATTACACTAGCCATTCCTAATGGCTCCCCAAAGGTACAGTATTTATGCATGAACCAGTTTTGTTTCGGACCAAGCGTTCATGGAAGTTCCATTACTAAATTTGACACTGCTTCAAAATTCCATGACAAATGATGTCAAGAGGCTCTGCACTGAATGCAAGGGCTCCATCAGTAAGCCATTTATGCCAGTGTGATTTTAGTCCTATCGAGGTGCAGAGAACTTAAAGCTTTGTTTTGTTGGCATCTTTTACAGACTCACTTTTGCATTGAATGTTCGCTCCAGTTCTTCTTTGTATCCTTGAATTTGTTCTTCGTGTTGCTTTCTGAGCCCCTGCAGAGCATCTGAGAGCTTAGTCTCAAATTCTCTCTGACGACCAAATTCTATTTCTGCTATCCTGCTCTCATGGACTCTTTTTGCCTCCCTGAGCTCCTGGAAGAAGAAGAAATTTCTCAGAGAATAAGCATGTCAATGCAGTTTGATTTGACACTGGACTTACTGTACCAGCTTAGCAAGTCATTCAACATTTAATCAGCTTTATCACTGAGTGCACGGTAATTCATCTTTATTCAGATCTCGGATATCTATCCATTAGGTCAGGTACTTCTACCTTGCCAGCTGTGCTGGGCTGTTTTGCTTCCTCACTGCCAACATTGCTTAAACTAATAAATGCAGTAGTTTATATTTAACTTTAAGGCTAATTATTTGAACTAGATTGATTTCTCTGCTTTTCTTTACTTAGAACACATGCATATACACTTCAGTTTTTTTAAGCACTGTTACTTTACCTATTCTTGCTTTATTCAAAAAGTAATAGCAGTTGGTTAGAGAAACTGGAATTTTTTATCACTTAAACCACACACTTT